TAAATCTCTCCAATACAGCTGCCACTGTTGTAAAGCTTCTATATTTGGTCTTGAGCTACACAAAATCCTATTACATAAATAGCACACCTTGCCGTGTGTGATATTGACAATGCCGAGGCAGCGTTGCGTATTAATGCTCAAAAATTCTGTTCTGAGATAGATGCAGAACTCCTTCTTGTAGCTGGGGTGGGCCTGGACTGCTGTCTTCCTAGCAAATTACTCATTTTTATGTAAGGCTGATGCTGCTTACATCCACAAAGACTTCCACAGCAACAGCTACCATCGTGCACTCTTGCAATAGCACCGCCATTTGGCACATGAAACAGTAAAGCTCTGAAATGCTGCACAGCTCCAGAAAGCAGCTTGCTCCCTTTGCCTTGTTTTACAGCAGTGCAGTCACAAGTAATGTGGGGCACTGCAGAGCCAAGGGAAGGAAAGCCCTCGTGATGTGAGCCTGTTGCTCCCAGCATGTGGATCGCACGAACTGAAACCTGTTCTGACCAGTATAAATTGCCTATCATTTTCCAAAGTGATGCCAAATCTCACTCATTCAGTTACTCTTCCACTGCTTATCTCACTGCTGTCCAGCCTTCTCATGATCTAAGACCACGCACTGTCCAAAGCCATCACAGCTGCAGAATGCTGCTGCCATCCTTACCTGACAAATCAAGTCTACATGAGATGTTTATGCTTTTGTGCAATAGAAGCCCTATTAGCCTATTAGCCCATTATTTTTTGTGCTTTTTTTTTTTTTTTTTTTGGTGTGTCCTAACTCATTTTTAAATTGAGTTTTCAAATAGAACCAAAATGGAAAATGCAGAGGAAAATAGCCGTAAATATCTTACCTATTAGTTAAGCTTCTGGCACAGTTTCCATTGGATCTTTTATACTTTCAACTTGATTATCCATTTCAGCTGAAAACAAAACAAGACAGTGTCCAAATGCTGCTCACAAAACATGTGAAGTTTATCACCTTGAGTAAGAACCACTCTGCCCAAAAGGCACAGAGTTCGATTATCACACTAAAAATTCTGTGTTCTATCTATGTATCTCTTATACCAGTTGTCTTAATCTGCAACTACACAGAATCTCTGATGAGTGGTTCTGCATGGGGTATACGCTTCAGCCTCGCTAGAAATGCCAAGCCTCTGGATGCAGATTTTCACTTTCATCCAAATGCACTGAATTTCATTCTGGCGCCTACGAAAAATGGCCAGCTGACGAACTAAACAACCCTCCTCTGTCTCTGTAGGCAACCAGCAGATGTATAGGTACTTCCAAGGGGTGATTTAGAGCTTTACCAGGCAAAGTGGTCTTGACCCCTACCTGCTACTGCTGGCGTGTTGCTGTGCTGCGGTGAGGGGGTGACACGGACACACAGTCATTTATTTGGCACCTGACGCGGAGATTTTTCATGTTGGCCATGCTAATGAGGGCTGCGGATCTCTTAGCTTCCCCATGTGAGAACGAAAGAGGAAGGATTTCCTGCATGGAGCCTTTGGCTGAGAGCAAAACCTTTGATGTGAACACTGCCAGCAGGACCTGGGCTGCGCCGGGGGCTGGATGCAGATCCACCTCTAATTGCAGTGATGCTGCCTCTGCCTTTGACTGTCCTTGAACTGCAAACTGCTGGAGGGGCAACAGCACTACATTCCCACATGTACTAGTTTACTAGTGTACTATCAATTTACCCCAACAATTTTATTTTTACATATAAAATCACTGCAAAAAAAAAAAAAAGGAGATGATTTACATGGAAGGCTTAAGTGCATTTCAATATGACCATAGTTTAGATGTCATGACAAATCAACAGTGGCACGTGTGATTGGCTAAACACAAAAGGGTTCCTTCAGCACATGCATTTGTAGGATGAGTAGTAGTTAGTATCTGCTCTGAAATGAATTTGATCGAGGCCATTTATACATTTTTCGGCTTTTAACCTTGCCTTACTTTGTGGTCTCAGCTGCAGTCATTTGATGCGTGCGACAGGAAAACCCTCAAACCTGAATGAGAGATTTGGAAACTAAGGGAAGACAAGGGAAACAAAAGGCCAAAAATCAATAGCTACTTCCAGCCAGGCAGTACGATCTCTGAGTCAATATCGTGTCAATACACCTGTTAGGATTGTGATGAATTATTTGTAAATTATTCATCATCCATATGCAGAACAGATCCCATAATGGCTTCCTGGATGTATGCAATGAATAACAAGAAAAGTATCCGCTCCTGATTATGGAGCTCTGATGCACATCGCATTTAGTGATGTTGTGTTCTTCGTCTGCATTTGCATAGCAAAGACAGGATGCTTAATAAAAAATCATTAAGGGAAGGCTGCTGTGCACTGATGACAGCAGCCTTTCTCAGCCTCATTATGCCAGCCGGTTTCACCAGCTTGGTTTTCTGTAAGTACCAGAAGGCTTTGCTCACATTTCAAAGAGATTTCTTTCAAAACCAAAGCTTCATTTGAAACCCGAGGTCAAGCTCTGTCAGCATCCCAAACGACCATGCCTCTTTCCCCCCTCTTGCATTTTTTAAAAGCTACCAACAGCCATCCCTGCTCTAGCTGACAGCACGTCACATCGGAGTGGGTGAGATGCAAACCACCCAGCACCTCTTGAAGGGCAGTGCAAAAGCACAGGGAGTCTTGAAACATGGAGCCAGAGGGGAAGTGGGAAGAACTGAGGTGCCCAAGGATTTCGCCATCAGCTTTTTTCCACATATGGGTGAATAAGCTCAGCTCTTTGCATTAACACTGACAGGGACAGAAAGATCTAACTGGAGGATAAGCTTTTGCAGACCCCTACAACAGATGTTGTTACGAGGCCACCTACGTAATCCTTGACACTTAGCCTGAAAAGCCACGGAGCACCTACTGAGGAGCAGATGGAGGGGCTGCCACCAGGAACAGGGGAACGAGACTCACGGCACGAGTCGGTGCTGGAACAATTTGGTTGGCCCCAAGTGTGCTACATCTAATCACAATGCAAGCCAGAAACAGGCTTCTTGCCACTAGAAGTTTTTACATGTGTTAAACTGCTAAATCACATTACACACATCTAGAGCTGCCAGCTCAGCAGAGCACTTGAAGTTCAAGGCAGCTGCCCATCATCTACATGCAGCTTTACCAGTTCTGGAGGTTCATGTGGGGGCTTTTTAAGACAGAAATAGGCACTTCTGTGCAATAGAAACGGAGTCTTCTGTCTGTTTTCTACTTAAATTCTGGCCTGCTGGGGAGGACCTGTGTGCATCTCCTCTCTCCATCTGTGAGCTGCTGAGCAGCTCTCAAATTAAGACTGCGAAAGAGTTTCCCCTCAAAAACAAGCAAGTTCCCTGCAAGGGGAGAAAAAACAAGGGGCGCAGAGTTCACACATGCAAAGTGGTGGCCGTGCTTCCACAGCATCCCTCCTCTCCCTGTGAGCCGGCCGCGTGCTTAAAGGTCACGGAGCCAGCAGTCATGGCACGGCATCTAAGCAGAGAAGACAGGTAAATCGGAGGCTGGAAAACTAAGTTCAGAGTTGTCTGAAAGAGACGACACGCTTTCCCCCAGAGGATAACGTGCCGTAGATCTGGATGGCAGATGAAAGAAAAGTATTATTGTATTGATTTAAATAGGAGCTCGGTCAGACTGCTACTTGCAAATGTCATCTGTTTCTTCAGCTGCTTCCTAAACAATGTCTCCCTTTGCGTCCATATCACTTGGCTATCGCACACTCAGCTGTAACTCCAGACTGCTCAGGAAAGAAAATTACCTATTTTGAATCAAACTGATTGTGCTGCAATGATATATGTGCACCTGTTTTCTTGGTAGTTACTCGTCTCTAGGATATTACAAAAACAATGTGTGATGGTGTTAACTGCTGAGATCTTGCTTTTGTGTCGCTTCTGTGAGTCACGTGAAGGTCAGGGCACTGGTGCCACACTCATCAGCTTGCAGTGGCTTATGAAACAAACCAAAGTTTCACTTTTGACTCTTCTTTTGTGCTTGCTGCATCTTTTTCTTTTCTCCTGTTCTGTCAGCAAGTCAAGATGCAGCTTTCCACAGGCTTGAAATAAGCAAGGCCAATGAGTAACTCCATTATTGAAGGAGTGAAGAGCTTGATCCATCTAATACCAGCTGCAAACTAACATCTACCTCTGTAATCTCTAAAGCTTTAGTAGAGTAGAAAAAAATTTTGTCTCTGGGCAGTGAAACACTACCTGGGAAACCAGTTAGCAAAGACTGCTTTTGTCATCGCTAAACAACGAACCAGAAAATCTGTCCTGGGCACAAGAAATTTAATATCCAGAGATCTTTGCTCTGGTTTCCAATGGAGATCACAAGCAGCAATCAGTATTACTGTATATCCACACCTATTTGTGCTTACACACACACACACACACACACACAAACACCCCGATAGTTCCTGATGGACCATCATGGCCAGTTCTCAAATTCTAGTAAATTCTGAAATCACTATGAAGGCCCTGCCCACGAGATGGACACATGTTGAGAACCGCCTCAACTCTCTACACTCTGTGTTTATGGAGCACTTTTCACTGTGACATTGCACATGAAATTAAAAACCGGAGCTGAGATGCTGAGGGGAACCTGGTGAGACAGTCTTGTGCTTTCAGCTGGGAAGTGCTCTCCTGGGGCAGAAGGAAGGGGACCAGAGGAAAAATAGGCAATTTACATTAAAATTACCATCAGAGGGAATCTTTTTTATGTTTTGTTTTGCTTTAAATCTCAACTAGTACCTGGTACACTCAGAAATCTGGGAGGCTTTTTTTCAGTGAAATAAACTCATCAGATACATGAGGAATCCGATCTTTTTTTCAACCTTTTTCTTTTTAGATATAGGATTCTTTATTTATTTTTAGTATGCAATGTAGGACTGCATAAAAACAACCCTGTACTGTGATCCCGATAGCAAATTAGGCTGTGGAGAAAAAAAGACTTCCTGAGATGGCAGAGTATGCTGCATTACTGAACACTATTTTCCTTTCCTTTTGCATAACAGGAATTCTGCAGAAAAGGAAGTTTCAAGATGAGCTCTATGTAAAAGATCATACAGGATAAGCAAAGAATGGAAGGAAAGAAACCGGTGAAGCTCACTGTTGCAGAAGCTGTCAGCTGAATCAGCTGTGCTGCGCTGCAGCACACATCCACAGTAGCCATGCGGATGCTCCTCTTTTCAGAAAGCAATCCCTACAGCTATTTCTTCAGTAAATTTGTTTTTTGGTAAGTAGCCCAGGCCATTCCAGGGATCCAAAATTAATGTCATCTAAAATGGCTACGGATTTTTTGGTTGATTTCTTCAGGAGATGAGGAGAGAAGGCTGTCCTGGCTTCATTCTGTGCAATTTCTAGTAATAGCATAATCTCCAGTATTAAAAAAGGCAAACCAACCAGCAACCAAACCCATTAAGCATGCTTCCTTTCCCTGTTCTTACAAAAGCTTCTCTACGGTCCAGTACCAAAATTAGTCACCAGTCCAAATGCTGCAATATGATCCAATGTCAGAGAACAGAAACTGGCATTAGATACTTTGTGTAATTAATGCCAAAAGGAATGCAATAGTTTTATCTTGGAGACGTAAACATTTTTGCCTTGAATTTATATTATGTAAACGCTGAAGACATTAAGGGATGAATCAGAAACTGGTCTGCACTACAGACAGGGGTCTCGTTGACGATGACAAACAAAACGGGGAATGGAAGCCCAAACCTGGGAACACTGCCTTTTGAGGCAGCCAAAAGGACCTTTCAGTCAAAATCCAAAAGAGTCCCCCATGTGGTTTCGTTAAGCTACAGGAGACCATCCAGACGAACGACAAAGTGTTTGCCTTACTAAAATCTAAGCACCAGGACCCTGATCCCATCCAGCATTTCTTTACACACAGGAAGAGTGCAGATGGCAATTTTTTTTGTTTAAGAACTGGTTACGTATGGTGAGCTGGAGCAGGGACTTAGTACTCAGCCCATGCCAGCCAGACAGCCAGGTCATCTTCTTACCAAAGCAACTGACCAAAAATTATTTCATCAAGTTGCAGGCTGGGACAATGGGGTTACGAATGTTCACAGACCCAACTGGAAATGCTGCTAGGTCACAGCATCATGATAGTTTTATTAGCAGGAAATGTTCTAGGGAAATAATTTCTGTTTTCTATCTGACTGAGTTATACTAGGACTTCCTTTCCTCTGAAGGGAAATCAGCTCTGAGCCAGAACAAGCTTACATGTTGACCTCTAATTGACATTAAGTTCGGAGTAGCTATAGAACCAATGCTTGCCTCAGGATGGAGTCAGGCACTGTCTCAGAAGCTTTTACAAATACTATTTTCTGACTCCTCTGTGAGATGAGATACATCTTGGCCAAATCAATTTCCAGACCAAAATTACAACAGGCCTAAAATACCGCATAGTTAAAAGGCAAGCAGATTGAATGTATCAACTGAACATATACACTGAGCCAATTAGAAAAGCAGAGGTATGAAAAGGGCTTTCAAGGAAGTGCTGTGGACTCAATTTTATGAGAAACACACTCCACTGAATCTTGATGGACCGCTGGGAATGTGCATCCAGACCTAAAAAGACCCGTGAATAATTGTAAAAAACAAACAAACAAACAACCAAAACTAACCTCATAAGTCTCTAACAGGTAACAGCAGAAATTCACAAAATCACAGAACTGCAGGGGTTGGAAGGGACCTCGAGAGATCATCGAATGCAACGCCCTGCTAAAGCAGTTCCCTACAACAGGTCACACAGCCAGGCGTCCAGATGGGCCTTGAGTATCTCCACAGAAGGAGACTCCACCACCTCTCTGGGCAACCTGCTCCAGTGCTCTGTTAACCTTACCGTAAAGGAATGGAACTTCCCACGCTCAAGTTTTAGGCCACTGCTCCTTGTCCTATCGCTATGCACCACCGAGAAGAGCCTGGCCTCACCTATTTGCTTCCCACCTCCCTTTAGACATTTATGAACATTAATCAGATCCCCCTTCAAGTCATCTTTTCCCCAGGCTGCACAGCCCCAGGTCTCTCAGCCTTTCCTCACGAGGGAGATGCTCCGGGCCTTTCATCGTCTTTGTGGCCCTCTGCTGCACTCCTTTTAGGAGATCCCTGTCTGTTTTGACAGGGGAGCCCAGAACTGAAGACAGTGTTCTAAATCTGGCCTCACTGGGGCAGAGTAGAGGGGGAGGATCAAATCACCTCCCTTGCCCCGCTGGCCACGCTCTTTGCAATGCATCCCAGGATATCACTGGCCTTCTTGGCCACAAGGGCACACTGCTGGCTCCCAGAAGTTTCAGTTGAAGAGATAATAAAGAGAATTCTTATTCTGGGGGGTAAGCATACAGACAAACCTTAGGAAGGCATGCTACTTGTGTACTATGACAGTGAAAATGTTAGAACAACGAACCGTCATTACTCGAAGCTTCTGTTGCTTCACATGCAAGTTCAACCTTCATAGGCTCTGCAGAAGTTTCCTCTTGCTCTTGCATCCCTGTAAGTGAAAGGAGAAAAACTGGAACTTAAGTACCTGATTAACATATAATGCTCAAACTCTGTACGCCTATTCTTTTCTGGATTTTTTTTTTCTTATGGCATGCTTTTACCTTTATAGACTGTGCTGCTGTAAAATGGCAGGTTTCTGAGAAAAGGCAGGGGATATGAGGGGTGGAACATGGTTTGAAAATAATTGCTTAAATATTTGCACTTATCTGCACTCCTTTCTAACTAGGATTGTTAAAACCCCATCGCAGTGTGTGCTTCTGTCTCCCTGCTGTTCTTCTCCTCAGCATTTTCGTAGAAGCCTTTATGCTCATAAACTGCAGTATGTGATGGGGACCTAATCACACTTATGAGCTTCTCCAGCTAGCAGAATAAAAATAGATACAGCGAGAGTTCAAACATACCCATAGTCAGACACAAACTAGAATCTGAATTTAGGCAAATGCACTTCATTGCTGAAACTCAATATTTTTATCTCTTCTGCCTCAGGCTTGTCTGCAAACTTAGATTCAATCTCTTAACAGTATTTGAAATGGGGAAGAAAAACTGCGTTTGCTGTTTCATACGCAGTGCTACTGATACTCTGCCATTTGGAGTGCCAAGAAGCCAGTTTTTAGTTCATTTCCACCAGAGCACTGCTCTGCTACTGTGGCCACCATAAACTGCTGCCTTGCCCAGTGGTCCAGCTCCAGGATGCCAAGCTATCGGTTGCTAAGCAATCGAGACACTGGGGGAGTTGTGAGAAAACAGCAAAGCGTAGCGAGGACTGAAACATTTTGCAGGGGGTTCACTCATGAGCGGAAATTTTTTATCACTGCAGCAACAGACGTAGAACATTCTAATAGACACCTTTCTGTATGGGTTGAGAGTGTCTTTATAAAATGCACTGCAGTGCACTCCATTCCGTTTGTCCATAAGCATGTATTTCCCGCTGAAGCTTTCCTTCTGATTGTATCTGCAATCCCAGGTGCTGTGACAGAGATGTCAGCCCTCTCTGTGCACCCTATGACGGTGATGCTGCTCTCACAGGCAACTTCTGGCACACTGCCTGTACTTCTACCAAGTGTTAAAATGCTAAAACGGGGGCCCAGCAAATGCAGAACCAACAAATCAGCCCCATTCACTGTTTCACTGAGTGCGGAGGGAAGCACGATGGACAGTGTCACAGTGAGAGATGTTGCCTGCCCTTTTAACAGAAAAGTCCCATGTGTGCTGCTCTTCCATGAGCTTGGATGAACGGCTACATGAGAAACAACACTGTGGAAAATCACCACCCCACCATGACCACAGCATCTCCCTGTGAGATGCCCATGTGCTTGCTGCAGGGATTCAGGACCCCTGCTAAATGTGGGTGCTCTCCTGCGGGCAGTTGATGCCAGCGGATCAGGCTTTGCCCACTCTCCAGCACCGTCTACGAATCAAACAAAGGGGATGCAATGTGACAGCTAACGTCTGGGCTCTCAGCTCCTCTAGCAGCTTGAGCTGCCTCCACGGCTGGCAGCTCCTCAATGCCTGCCCAGAGTTCCCGGCCCTACCCCAAGATCTCCCATTAACTAGCCAGTACGCCTGGCTTCACCACGCTGCCGAAAGGCTTCTCGCTTTCCACTTCAGAAATCCCTCATGCAGCTGACAGGTGCAAAGCATTATTGGCACGGTGCGAGCTGAAGACAGAACCTAATTAAAGCCACAGCATTTTGTGCACACACGTGTTGGTGCGTGCACGCTTGTACTAATTGGGGCTGCTGAAAGCAGAAGGTGTCAAGAGCCCCCAACACAAAAAGCCTCAGGGTGGGCAGCCCTCAAGGGAGACCCAAAGGGCAACAACAGCTGCAGCAAATCTGTAAAATTGCTTTTCATAAGGTTGAGGGCTATGAACATTGTCAGAAGAACACTAGCATGTGTCCTACACTTCCCCTTCCTTCCGAGTCTGCTTACCTGATTCGCCATCCCTTCGGGGACTGGATTATGGCCACATTGTGCTTTTTATGGCATATGTTGATTGCTGCAGATTGTCAGCAAGAAACGGGTAGCGAGACACATTGTTCAGGGACGAAGGAGGCAGGAGATATTCTAGACCTTCACAAAGCTGAGTACCACTGCAAACCTTGGGAGGGTGCTTGTGCGCTCTACCAGCTGATTTTGGGAAAGACTTTCAACCCGTGTTAACATAAATCTTCATTTCTTCCCTTGCTCTTGTTACAGGATGTGGACAGCGGCACTTCACCACGCTGCTGTGCACGCAGGAGGGACATGATCTGCAAAGCTTCTTCCCTGCCGTGCAATAACACCGAGCGCCTCATGGAAACGAGCCCATTTCCCATTAACAGCAGGACCTGAACAAACCCAGCAAGGCAGCGACAGCCCATTCATTCCAGAGCCCTTCTCCATCCACACTCTGGATTGCTACAGGCTAGAGCACAAACAAGAGAGGTATTTCGGGTCTTGGGGCACCACAGAACTGGAGGGAGCCTGAGAGGTACTGCTTTCAGTTCCAATTACCGAAGCCAGTTGTGCTCCTGGCAGAGCTCACTGCCCCGGCCCTTTGCGGGCTGCTTACACAGCTAGCAGTGACAGCAGGATGCCAGGGCAGGCAAAGGCACTCCCAGCCTTCTTAAGCAGGCCAGACAAATATTTAGCAGGCAGATAGAAATCTCTGTCCTGTTATTTTATCTTTTTTTTTTTTTTCCTTCCTCTCCAGTCACAACCTATTGGTAGATCCACGCAGTTCGAGCTAATGCACTGCTCTTCCTCTGGAGAAACACTTCATATTCGCATGCAATTCACGAAATTAAAATGAACAGAGAGGTAAGATACCTATATCCATTCTCCACACTCCTGATAAATTAGCAAGTGAGGAGTGTAACTCCTCCTCTTGCACAAGATTTATGTCTATACGCAGGCAATGATACAGGCTTAGGAGCTGTAATGCAGAGCAATCCATACAACTTATTTTTTTACCTGATCATCAGCAAGGCTTTGCTGTGTGCTGAAGAGTGCCTCTGTCATCAGGAGAAAGAGGCAGGCTCCTCTCCCAGGTAACTCAAAGCAGAATCCTACCTCAAGTCTCTCCAGAACCAATGAGATCAGCCTGACTCTAAGGGGTTGATTTGCTGCTGACTGTGAGGCAGTTGGGAAGATGGAGTGCTCATGGCTGAGCCCAGCCTCACCAAAGCCCTCCTGGTGCCTCTGGGCTCCAGAGCAGGAACCTGGATTTCTGCAGTGAATTTCCAGTTATAGTACCATGGACAAGCTTTAAGACAAACAGAAAAATGAGATTTCATGTATGAATGAGTCCCGCCAGTACAATCGGGCAACACCAAGATAACGTGGATCTTAAAAAAATCCCCAATGTTTGTTAGAAGCCTTGTAACTAAGAGCAAAATCCTTGCCTTAGGATCATTCTGAATTCTTGAAGAAAAGCAGTTAGCCATAACATAAAAACAGTCCAAGGCTGCCACTACTGGTTTTTTGCAGGTAAAATGGCAAGGTTGTTACTCCTGAAAAATACCTACAGAACAGATTTGTTGGGTAATGCTACAGGATTTCCAATAAACTGCTCTTCTGCCCATGGACAATTTGCAACCAAGGGAAATTCACCAGATGTAAGCTATGTGTCTAGCAGCCACTTCTACTCTGGTTATATACCTTGAAAAAAACACCTCAGTCATTATGTAATATGAAAATTACACTGTAGCTATTCTGAATGATGCAGATTTCCACAACACACAGCCGCTAAATTAAATTTATTATTCTACATTTAGCTGTAAATATGCTTCCCCTAATTGGGAGACAGTGAGAAATGGGGGCTCGTTAAAATCTGAATTTCTCCAGTTAAAATTTGAAGGCACCATTTTCCATCTGCAGCAACAAAAATGAAAGACAGAGCTCTTGTGACCCAGAGCTGCACTGTCTTATCTGTCAAAACTAGTTCCACTTCTCCTGCTCTGCAAATAGTCGGGGCTGCTATTTTCCTTCTTCCCATCCATTTCACTGTAGCTGTTTGCTAATGTTACTGTCAAGCCTTCGTGTACTTTGTTTACTGCTGCGTTTTGATAGCATAAATGCCGCTTCACTTAGGAACTGGAGAATCTGGCTTTGCTCTGTTCACCACCTCCGTCTGGCATGACTGACCCCTTTCGACCACACCAAATACCCCCACAAATAAGATTTACACTGCATTTTTGCATGGTTCTATATGCAGAAGTGCCCTACCTCCTGCTCTCAGGGCTCTGAGCCACAGCAGCCACAGCCCTGCTTAATTTTGTTACGCTGAAGGCTGGGGGCAACTCCCCCCTCACCATCCTTCTGTGACGTCTGGGTCGAGTACGAGTCTGAGGCTCTATTCAGTGCAGCTTCATTAACAAACGTCTCCATCTGTTCAATCAGGAATCTTTTACCTTGATCAAAAAACTCCCTGGCAATTAGGCGCCGCAGAGATGAAAAGAAAGCTCGAGATGTCAGAGGAAGGAGCGCTGGCTGGGACGCCAGCTTTGCCAGGCGCTGGAAAGAGCTGAGCATCATTTCTTAATGCCGCTGTTAGGATTTGCAGCCCCTTCATCATTAAATCGAGTGTTTACCCTCCCTTGTGGCATTTTGGCTCTGTCTCCAAGAGCAGCAGAGCGATGAGGCTCCCCGTCCCCGTGGCGCAGCGTGCATCGCGTCAGCTCTGTGTTTGTGCACGCGTCTGTACCTAAAGGCACTGTTATTTCCAGGCTCAAGCTGAACGGCAATTCTTTTAAAACGTGATTTAAGAGTGTCTTAGAAGTGCTTATCCCTACCCTTTTTCGGTTCTTTATTAAATATACTCTTAGTAAATCTCATTATGCCTTTTTTTCCCTAAAGGTGGGAATGGGAGTGCAGGGAGGATTGTCTCCCAGCAATCTGGTCCGTAAGACCCATACAAATTGGGCGTCTCTAAAGTCGCTAATGCCCATCAGGAGCTCTTTGTCTCTTTTGTCTCTCTGTAACAACAGGATAGACCTGCACACAGCAGGCTCTTGATGAATACAAGGGCATATCATTCGCAGAAAAGGCCTTTCTGAATTTCTCTTCTGACAAAGAGGCCATGCTGCTGTTTTCCAGATGCTCTTTCTGTGAAACCTCTCATCAAAGAAGAACCCTACAGCAGGGAATATCTGAAATGGAGCACCCAGAGGCTTTCAATTGAATTCTTTGACTGCTGACTGTTAACATAACTAAAATGTTGCCGGGTAGTATTCAAACTAGCAGATTACCTGGCCCGAGCTGCTTTCAGAGCTCTTGCACTCCATCTCCCTGTCTGTAAATGAGGCAGACAGCACGCTCAAAAGCGTAGGTGTTCTGAATACAGAGTTCTCTAGAAACAGCATTATTTACCTTCCTTTCCCATTCTGTTATTTTCCCTGTCACTTGTAACTGCTTACCAAATTCACAAGTTACACGGCTCAGTTCCTGATCACCTCCAGCTTCCTGTTGCTAGAATACTCATGGATGCAAGGAATGGCTGCACTGGAGGATCCTTACACATAAAGGATCCAGAGGAACCCTCCAGGTCTTCCGAGCTTTGGCTTCCATCAGGGAGAACTGATGTTTGGGCATGCAGAATGCCTCTTATTCCTTGAGCATTGGAACAACCACCAGCTGCCCAAATAATGCCCGGACATCCACACTCACAGTGATGCATTTTTCCTGCACACCTACCACACATATTGCCACGCTTCTTGTCTGTCTCCAGCTATCCTTGTAGAGCAGGTTTAATGCCTTTCTGCACGACTAATCCAGAGTGAGGATGCAATCCTTCATTTTGAAGAGCTGACCCAGGTGCCCAATAGCTTTCGCAGGCCCTGCTTTCCCCTGCACCACTAACAACTGAATAGCTCGCCCTGCTGCTGGATTTTCCATCAGCACACACTGTGCCCCTATTCCATTTCAATTTTGCATTCGCCGTACTTTCTGAGCATTTCAAATAATCCTGATGCAACTGCAGCAAAGCAATAGACTGTGAAAGCAAAGAGGTCCTGGATCTCATAAGCAGGTCTGATTTATCAGAGCAGCACGCTATTTATTTCAGAAACGGTAAAGAAATTTTTGGTTCCCCTCTACAGGAGCCGCCCCAAACAGAAGAAACCACGTCAACCCTTGGCTCTAAGCAGCTGTACCAGCACCAGGCAGGCACTGCAAGCAAATAACAACGATAATTATTGGAAAACTGAATCATATTAAGGGGCGAGAGGGAGGGAGTAAGAATGTGAAAAGACAAAAACAGCCACTTGCTCAAGAGCTGGTAGAGAGAAAAATCCCTTCCAAACATACCCAAACTCTCAAGCAAGCACCCATGTATTTTAAGTCTCCAACCCCAGCTACAAGGAAGAGCACACCACGGTGAAAAAGCATGCCGTGAGCACGGGACAAAAGGAGGCTTTGCCCAAGTTTCTGATAGAGCGTAGCCAGGGCTGCTCACCCTTACAACTGCAAACATTTACTTCTGGGGTCACTGCTTCTGAAAGAGATAACTGCTAAGTCAAAGAGGAGCCCTGGAAAATACTCTGCTCAATTCCTTTTCAAGGAGACTATTGCCAAGCGTATGAAGAATGAGCTTCAAAGTGGCAGGGAAGAGCAGCAGAAGGGTAAATAAAGAGTGTATGGTTTTACCTGAAAAGCAGTAACAAAATACTGTGTGGGAGAGAAAGAGACGCTTCCCTTTTATTCATCCACAGACCCCAGCCTAAATTTGGTGGCTTAAAATAGAACAGAATGTTCTCAGTGACGAGAGCACAAGAAAGTTCAGCAAAGTTCTGTTAATGGATGGTACCTTGCAGGCACACTGTAATTTTCAAACATTTTGTGATGCAAAGATGCAGCAGTCAGCATGAAAAAGTGAAAAACACACACTTGTTAAAACAAATCCCACTTCCTAAAAACTTGGATAACTAGAGGTATTGTTCACCTCACACCTGGCTGAAACATCTTGCTATTTGGAAAGAGCACTTCCATTTCCAAAAGCTTAACAAGACACAGCCAAGCTCTCTGTTTTAATTTTGTAAGCCTGCTAGCTTCCTAGAATTAAGCTCAACAGAATATGAAACTCATTCAGTGGAAAGAAAAGTGGTAATTGGCAGCACTCAATCCCAAAGACCTTACAGGTGATACTTATCTTTTTTTCCCTACCAAGAGACGTGATGATCATTTTTCAAAAACAAATGAATGACTGAATCCAGGCTGTGGGGCTTTTTTTGTTGTTTGTTTTTTAAAAGAGTTCTACTTGGAGTCTTTTAAAGCTTTACAGTCAGCTTTGACTACATGGTGATTAACACAAATCTACGTTAAAGAAATCATTTCCCTACTGAAATCCTCACCTATTTGTGTTTTTCAGGTGTGTTGCTTTGGACCTGGGTGGTGACTCACCAAAACATAACAGGCATTTAAACACCACATGCCCACACACAATCAAGGGCAGTAAGAAATTTTACACAAATGGCTTGGGGTTGTTTTCCCTCAGTAAAGAAAGGGACAGCCCAGTGACAGATGACAGTGCTGGCTGTGTTATTGAAGGTGATCCTCCTCACTCTGCTGGGGAAGCACTGTGTGCTCTGTGGAAGACATCAATGAAATCTGGCTTCTGGAGATCTGCGCTGCTTTTGCAGCGTGTCATTAATGCTGATTGTTATTCCCATTTCTCCAGTGAAAGCATGTCTTTCTCCTCTACAACAATGTGTGAGTCAACACTAGTCAGGCCTCAAAGGGCTCAGAGGAAAACCAAACATACTGCAAGTCCAATATTACTTACCTTGTATGCACTGCTGTCATTTTAAATTTCTACTGATTAC